CCTCTAATCCCAAACGCACCCTTCAGCACATGCTCTATGCTGAACAGAATTCTGTGAAGCATTTCTTCTTTAATGTGTGCCCAACGTTACACTTTTGCAGTAGAGAGCACAAGAGGGATGAAATAGAAAAAAGAGGATTTTTATAATTTCTACCTCATACTGGGGGTCAGCAGTGCAGGTGTGAGAGCAGCAATGGCCTGGACCCTAGCCTCAGGCCCAGAACACGGACCCTCAGCAGCCTTGCAGCCTCTGCTTGGCAGTAAGCTTTCCTCAGCTGCCTGTTCAGGGTTCACCCCCTCTTCTGTGAAAAAAGTGACTTTCATGGAACTGTATAATAGTTTTTTGTTTGTTTGTTTGTTTGTTTTCCTAAATGCTGGAAAAATATTTCAATATTTTGGTATATTATTATAGTATCACAGCCACAGACATGACATACTTTTGAATTTCATCGGCTTTTTAAAGACATTCTCTCTTGCTTTCTGGAGTTCAGACAGTCCACAGAGCCATACATTGAGCTCTAATCTCTCATATTTGCTGACTTCCATGGTTTACTTGCTGCCACCAGGGCTGATTCCAAGTGACCAATATGGTGGCATGGAAGGTACAGATGAGAAGAGGTGTGCGATAACACCCCTTCCTGTAGCATTTCCATGATACAAATACCAGAGGCATGAAGAGCAAATGGAACAACAAAGTGAAATCAAGAACGTCAGAAAGTAAGGAGGCTTGAGTTCGTTATCTTTGCTTTAAATTGAATTTACTTGGTGTGGAATTTTATGTTTTAATAATTAACAATCAGCTCTCAACATTGCTGAAATGGTAACATTCACCGGTCATAAGCCAGCGTGAACCGGTACAGGCCTCCACTGGACTGGACTCCGCTGACATTGCATGGTTTCTAATCCATCAGCCAGACTTTCTGCCCCTCCACCCCTGTACGCTGATCCTCCACATATCAAAGATGTACATACTCTACTCCGTCAGCCATGATTTCAAATTCAATAAAGCCCTGAAAATGGCGACTGTGATGCAAGCCAGACCTGAACCCTCATGCAGCCATCACTCTACTTTTAATGTCACATATTTTCCTGAAAAAATGTTCATGCGTTTGATTATGGGGAGCTGTCCCAGACCTCTCCTGGGGACATCAGATAAAACACATATGCATTGTTTTCCCTTTCAAAAATTTGAAAAATTCTCAATCTGATTCACATCTGGTTCCAAAAGTTTTATGTAAGGGATTGTGGGCCTTTAGTGATCCTTACAAAGTAGAAATAGAGTCACACTTTGGTTACCCATCAGTGCCTCCCCGTAGCCTATGGGGCAGAATCTAAGTTCTTAAACATGATACTCAAGGCCCTCTAGCCCTCACGATTGTGCCCACATCACCCTCCTGTATCAAACCACTTCTGGGACTCTCACCACTTAAAGGTTGAGTTGAGCTCATTAGTCACCCCACATCTACACATCACATCCTTTGGGCAAGAATCAGAACCCAGCTAGGGCAGGAACGCAGTCTGCCTTCTTTGCTTTATCTGTTATATGATCTTCATCTGCCTACTTCCTCCTCCTTCACCTCCAGTTCTCACCTGTCAAATGGCAGTCACAAAACCAGCAAGGCTGTCACACACATAAAGCAAGTTCATTGACACCAAGTTAGCTTGTCATGTGCCCTATAGTTTAAAGGAGTCTTCACTCTAACATTCTGAAACTGAAAAAGTTGTTTGAAAGCAAACATTCTTTAAAAATTGCTGGATAGTAGCTAGGGGCTTCTCATTTCCATAAAAGGAGTTAAGCATTGATGTGCATAAAGCCCAGTCATTCCTACCACACAGAGAAAAGCCTTACACTTGACAAGAGCCTTGTGTGGTTGGTGCAGTTGGGGAAGCTGACCTATAGAACAGTCTCTGTAACTCATAAGAACAGAATGGATGGGTCTCATCCCATTAGAAAAAAGAGAAAAGGAGGGCAAGAGTAGCCCCAGGCTCTCACCTTTCTGGGCCTGAATATTTATAGGTTTGTTTAGGTGTGTTGTTTTGTTTTGTTTTGCTTTGCTTTGCTGTTGTTATTTTGGGGATTTGGGATTTTGTTTGATTGTTTTTATTGTTGTGTTTGCCTTCCCTACATTGGTGCACTACAAAAACTTAAGTGTGAAAGGTCATTCAGAACCTCTAGGCATGCCTTTCCTTTGACAAATGCCTCCCATCTTCTGCTTGAACAGTCACAGTGACTCAAGCCTATTCATTTAGCCCAGATGCCTGACCCATCATAGTTACAACTGGCAACTTGTTCCATGACAAGAAGGCGGTCTCAACCAACTTTAAGGCTTAATAGGCAAAGAAAAGCAAACAGCAAATTCTTACTATGGTAGAAATGACTTAATTGCATAAGACTGATGAATCAAAGACCTGTACCCCTGAAACAAATAATTCATGTTAATAAAAACAAATAATTTTTTTTTAAAAGTAGCTTTTGATGGAGCATGGGAAGAGGTGTAAAAGGATTTTGGCAGAGAGGAAGACCAAAGAGAATACAAAGGAACTACCATTTACAGAGGAGAAATGAGGAGCGCCTGGCTGGCTCAGCTGGTTAAGCATCTGACACTTGGTTTCAGCTCAGGTCATGATCTTGGGGTCTTGGGATTGAGCCCCATCTCAGCTCCATGCCCAGCATGCAGTCTGCTTTGGATTTTCTCTCCCTCTCCTTCCCCCTCTGTCCCTCCCCTCTGCTTTCTTGCACTCTCTCTCTAAAAATAAATAAATAAAATCCTTAAAAAAATAATAATAAAAGAGGAGAAATGGTTCCAAACTGCAAATGGAAGAAAGTCTGACAGGGAACAACAATTGTTTAAAATTCCTTATGAACAAGATACATCCCTCATTACTGTCTATGATATAAAGAAATACCACAACGCAAAAGAGAAGCAGTTGCCAGATAGTCCTTACCAACTCTTTGAACTTCCTATTATGTTCAGAGCTAAGTGTAAAACTTGGGTCTTTGGGGCATAACTGTCCATATTTATCTGAAAACTCCTGGATTTATTAATCATCCTAGTTGATGTTAAATCAAACAGAATTATGATGCTAAGTCTCAATGCAGATCACATTGTTTCATTTATCTTTGGACAAATGATATATCTAGGCCTTTATAATCACTGAACAAAGACATTTAAACAAACAAACAAACATAAAGCCAAATTTCTATACAAATAAGACTATTCAAACATGTACCATTAAAGAAATTACTGATTCTATTATTTGAGAATTCAAAATGCCACCCCTGATTTTGAAAGACTGGGTTTGTACATTTTTTTCTAATCAATGAAATGCACTGTAGAAAAAAATAGGTGTCTATTTCTGATTAGACCTTCAGATTTTAAGTAGACATCAGTCCTAATCAAGGTAGACGTTTTATTTGCACAAATCAAATTTTACTTTGCAGATGGAAGGTGGGTATGAAATGTGCATTGGTAAAAGTCAATCAGTAAAAAACCTGAATTATAGATCTTTCTTTTCATTAGAGATAACCCAGAGATGAAGGAGATAGAGATGGATGGGACAGTAATAAAGGCAGGGACAACCAAACAAACAAAAAAAAAAGGCCTTTACCAATAGTTAGAACTTGTGAACAGAGGAGAGACACTGACATATGTTGAAAATCCACTATGGGGTGGGGACTTTGCTAAGATTTTTACCATGCTGTCTCATTTAGCTCTTGTAACAATTCCTCAGATGCATATTATTATCTCCAGGGTATACATGAAGAAACAAATGCTCAGAAATGGTCAGGTTGGTTTTCCAAACTCATTTTCACTCAATTCTTAGAACCCATTTGAAACAATAATGTAATATGGTGGTCAGTCAGATGGATCCACAGGTGATCTGATTCTACATTCCACTGACTGAGGGAGTTTTGTTGGCTTGGAAGGTTGAACATTCAAGTGTTACCCAACCCCCCACTTATCCCCAACCCTCCCCTCCAAAAAACTTGGTTAAAGAAGATGTCCTGCCCAGGGGTGAAAGATTAAATGATCCTCTACTCAAAGTATATAAATTACTGAGCTTTTCTTCTGGATTCTCTGAAGCAGGAAACCTTACTGAACCAACTGAGTATCCAAAATGGAGTTCTAAGTACAGTCTCCATTTAATATTCTTGATTCTGTAGGAGGAAAGAGGTGCTTCTTTCTGTTATTATGTAAATTCTATTATATGAATATATTACTGCTATTCTGTAGCAGAAAAGAGATGCCTCTTTCTCTTATTATATGAATATATTATTATGTGAATATATGTGAATATATACCTTTATCATTGTAAAGACCATGGCATTCCTAATAGTCTGCTGGTAAAAGTCACAGATTCTAGAATCTCAGGGTAAGACACAAAGATAACCATCTTCTTGGTGTCATTTGCAATTAAAGCCCTTAGAGCTAAGATAGGCCTTAGGATGAATAGAGCACTTATTAAAGGAAAGGAATCAAGTGTTAGACTTGGTTTTTATCCTAACTCTGGACTGGTGGCCTGTCTTCTCTATCCTGCATGATTTCCCTGGTTTCATGACCCAGGTTATTACACAAAAGATAAAATTCAAACTGTATACATTGACCTCATTCATCTTTTTAACCTTCTTTTCCACTGTCCCCAGAGTGTGATGGGTTAGTAGCCTGATGTGCTGGAAGGAGAGTATTTATAAGAGACAGATTAGAACCAAAGAGGTGGGTGAGGAGGCCCCTGCAATAGTCCTTGAGAGCCATGATGAGGGCCTGTAAGGGAGTCAGAGTGATAGCTGAGTGAAGCGACTAACTAAGAGTCCAACCTAGCCATGCATCAGCCATAGGGCACCATGAAACTTTACTCTCTCTAATTAGGGGATATGTCAAGCAATGATCTTACCTGACATCCAGAATAAATTCTTCCACATGTCTGTCTCCTATTTTGTTACAGTGGTCTTAAGGAAAATGCCAGATTTCCACTGCCCTTCACTTAGCCATAACTACTCACTCTGTCAAGAGCCAGAAGCCTTGAATTTTCTCTCCAGAAGTCTCGGCTATGTGCCCTTTCAAGTCTTCCATGGCAGTCTCAATGGCCCCTGGCTGGATGGAAAAAAGAAAACACCTAGTTTAGAGAAAACTGAGCCCTCTTTGTACTTATGATTAGTGAGTATAACCCACAGCCTCCTCCGGAAAGTCGATGGGAAAGATAGCTCTTGCATTTGTCTGTTTGTCCTAGGCACAGCCTGCCGGGGAGCTGAGTCTTGAACTCTGGTATTTACAAAGCTGTTCTCCTTGAATGGGAACAAAGTGATCCAAGTGCTGTCTCCCATGATCCAACTCATACTTTCTCACAGAAATGAAGACAGCCATTTTCAGAGGGCCAGTTTTCCTCAATAAACATGTTTAACAGAAATTTCAAAACATGTAGCAATAGATACATTTTTAAAATCAAACGTTTCTCTCTTCAAAGAGCACATGGCAATAAAACACCTAAGAGAAATCCTTTTCTAATATTTTGACCATAATTGTAGCTGGCTCTGGGCAATTAGCTTTTTTGTCTCATTATCTTGCATTCTTTACTCTTCTCCAAACAGGTGCTCCCATGCATGGGCCTACCTCTAGTTAAAAGTTGATTAACCCTTTTCCTGATAAGATATTCAGAGATCTCTAACTCAGTGATCCCTAAACTTTCAGTGCACATCAGAATCAGAAACACAGATGTCTGGGCACTGTTTCCAGCTTTTCTGATTTAGTAGGTCTGGAATGGGCCCGAGAATTTACATTTCCAACAAGTTCCCAGGTGGTGCTGTTGGTGTGGGCTATACTATGAGAACTATTGTTCTCTAGACCATTATCCTCAACCTTGGCTACACATCAAAATCACCAGGGGATCTTTTAAAAATCCTAATGCCCAAGCTGCACACCAGGGCAATGATACCAGATTCTCAGTGGATGGGACTCACATATCAGTACACCAGGATTTTTTAAAGTGTCCCAGATGACTCTAATGTGTAGACAAGTTTGAGAACCACTACAGCCCAGAGATTATCTAGCCTGAGCAATTTCATTTTATAGGTGTGGAAATGGAGGCCATTGTGGGGAAGTAAGTTGTCAAGTTCATTCAGCTAAGAAGTGGTAGAGACAAGACAAGAAAACAGACATTTCATTGCCCCGCCTACAAGGCAGTGCTGGCCTCATCCTCATTCCTGAGCTACTGACAAGTAGGTTGTCAGTTCTTGAATATTCTCTGTGTAACAGGACTTTGATACTAACCACCTAATCTTTTCTAAATATTAACATTCCTAATCCCCCAGCCTGAGACCCTTCTCTCATGAAAGGAGACCAGGACACTAGTCTGGCCTAGGACCCATTCAAATGCATTTTCCTCTTGGAGGTAGAGAGGTGGTAGATTTGGGTTTGCTCGCTTTCTCAGTCCTATGATGAAAGGCTTGGAACATTTTGGCCACAGAGTCCATTGGTCAAGAAAAAGACCTTAGAATAGGAGAATCCATATACAAAAAAAAAAAAAACAAAAAAAAACCAAAAAAAAAAAAAAAAAAAAAACAGGAAAAGAATGGCACTGTTTCAGATGAAGTGATAGGAATGGCACGGAGCTTTCTCAACTTAGCTCTGCCCCTCCCCCTCCAACTCACTGGACAGAGCCCAAGTCATCCAGGAAATGTCCATTAAACAGAGTCAAGTGACCTGGGCTCCTGTTCCAGATCTGTCGTAAATCAGTCCTGTGATCTGTAGCTAATGGTTTGAGCTTCCTTGGCCTACATTTCCTTATCTACAAAGACAAATGAGGAGACTGAACCAATGCTTTCCAAGCCAAGCTGATGATGGAAGCCTCCTGGAAGTCTTTAAGAAAATATGATCATAGCCCTGATACTGAGACATTCTGAGTTCCTCATTTTAACACATTTCCTGCTGAATGGAACAGTCAGCCAGTGGACTGAATGATTTCTGACTACTTTGTCATCCTCAGCTGCTGGTTCATGGGTTGTCAGGGAGCTAACATGGCTGCCTATGTCTGCTGGAAACTATAAGTCATAAAATCAGTTAGTTCTGGAGGATTAATCAAGTAGGCCTTGAGCCTCTGCTGACAGAGAAGGTTGTCCCAATATCACTGTTCAACCCACTGGCAGGACCAAACTAGGCTGGAGAGAAATCCCTTATGATCCCATGACAATGCTCCCATCTCCCAACCTGAGCTCCCCGGGATACAGCCTGACTGCACCAGACCTACTGCTCAACATTATCCTTTCTTTGATGACTCATCAGGCTATTTTTCCTGTCTCTCCTCTTATATCCACATAATTTCTTCCTCTAGCTAACATAGCTCAGTAGTGAAACTAATACTTTTCAGAAGAAGAAAAAAAAACTGTAAGTGAAATTGGAGAATAATGAAATAATCCTAAAATAAGCATTTTGTTGAATGCTTTTGCACCAGGCACTTTGCCAGAACATGTGAAGATGAATATAAAATTGTAGAGTTTCTCAAAACCTTACTTGTCTTTCCTATGGAAAGCAATTGGCAAAATCTATCAAAATGATCTATCCTTTGATCTACACATTCCACTTCTGTGAAGTCATACTATGGCTGCTCTTGCATATGTGAAAAATGACAGATGTATAGACAGCGTTCTCCACAGACTTATTTGTGAATAGCAAAATTTTGGAAACAAGGCAAATATCTATCTGTAGGGGACTTGTTAGATATAATAGGGGACACATCCATACAATGGAACATGATGAATATGCAAAAACAATTAGAAAATCTATGCTAATATGGAAAGATTTCAAAATGTATTACTAAGTGAATGAAAAAATGTTCAGAAGAAAGGGAAAATATGCCACATTTTTTATAAAAGAGAGAATAGATAAGGATAAATATTTGCATGTGCTTATCTATGCTAAGGCAACTCTAGAAGGATACCTAGAAAATGTTAATTGTGGTCCCCATAAGGGGGGAGGCACTTGATGGGACAGTGGCTAGAGGTGACGTTCTACTGTATACCTTTTCAAAACCTAAACATTGGACATCACTGTGGTTTTTATGAAATGGCTGGGAAGTCTCTAGAGTTCTGTCAGTGAGTGTCCTCACTGAGTGTGGTGTCATCACACCTTTAGCAGAAACAGTCGTTGGGCCTTTATGGAACAGTTAGTTATAATCACTGTATCTTAATATTTTACTTTCTTCTGTTTGCCATTGTTAGTTAACTGGAATAAATTAACTGCTGCCATTCGATGTAGAAAATGAGATAGTGTGTGAACACTCTGACTTGTGTCCAGGACAAGGTTTAGATCTCAAACTTTCTGCTCACCATGAGACCCATATTATGTCCTTATTATTCCAGATATCAGTTTACTCATTTGCTGGGTGGGTAAGATAATATTAACTGTAACAGAGCTGTTGGGAAATGCCAAAAACATGTGGGAACATTGAATAATAGAACACTGTATTTTCATTCTTATTGTTATTATTAAATGCAGGGAAAATAGTTGTGCCAGGATTTGGGGGTCGAATGGTCACAGCAATGGAACAATTAGCTCGAAGATGCCATGCTGCCTAAGACTAATAGGAAAGTACAATGGAATAATAAGTACCCATCATTGAATATGTGTATATTTCTAATGTTAAATTTGAAGAAAAATTATGAGGGGGATCCTTATTTATAAGTTATTACACAGCTGAGTAGGCAATATCTGTTCTAATATTTCAGCGCTGAGTATCTTCAGTCAAAACAAACCTACTAAAGGAATTTCAAAGATGTGTGTGTGTGTGTGTATGTGTGTGTGTGTCCCTATCTTTCCTGAAACTAGACTAGCCAGGGGCCAGTTGTCACACAAATAATACTCCCATCTGCTGGTAATAGTTTACCATGTACTAAATCCTTAGACCATAAGAGGAGAGGGCAGCACAGAAAGGAGTGCTCCCAGGGACTCACACACAGTAAGATCTCTCTTGTGGATACCATCATGCCCAGATAGAAATCACTCCGTGGTAAACACATATGGGAAGAAAAACAGCTCTAAATTGGATGCAATTTGTGAAGTCCAGGGCAAATTTGTCTCTCTTTGAAAATAAAGGTAATGTTTCTTATGTTATTATTGGTAAGTGCCTGCCCTCAGAAAGAAACACCACTTTTATTACAATCTTCAAGGGATTTCACTGTAAGGAGGGGAATCAAGAAACCTTTTGCCCAGTGAGATGTGTAATTTCTAGACCAGGAAGAAGCTCACACAGACAATAACAATACAACTAATATATTTAGTTGTTCCCAATGCAAGAGCAAGACACAGGGAACCCTATAGTAAGAGAAGAGGGGAAGGGAGAGAGTATGAAAGCCAAATTAGTGTCATGAAAGCAATGACATCTTGCTACACAATGGGAAGTCCCAAACCTGCTTATTAAAGTCTCGTTCCTCACAATAGAACACAGGCTATAAAAAGGCCATGGGGAACCATTAATTAAATATTAAAAGATCAAATAGTTTTAGTCCCATTAGTTTGTATGTAATTTACATTCTCAAGTATAAATTTAGAGATAATTCCCCATCCCTAATCTCTTTCAACTTTCTGATAAGGTATCTGCAAATATAGAGTCCTACAGGGAGTTTAAAAATATCTTTCCCCATGCGTATCAAGTATTGTTCCTTTCATAAGAAGTTGCTTTTGAATATCAGTCTCCACAACTGAAGGGATTATCATAATATACCTCGAGTTATTAGCCTTGAGTGGTACTTTTGTTCAGAAAAGGCACTAGGCCTTTTTTAGATATGTCTAAGCAATAAAATAGCAAATGAACAGAAACAGGAGGAAAAAATTATCCAAGCAGAGTGATGGCAAGTGCTTCAGACATTCATTCCTATGAACTCTCAGTCATTGTCCAAGGTCAGAGGCTCTGGAGGGGTGGTAAAAAGTGTCAGGAGTCCTGGCTCTTAGTCTTGGCATGGCCCTTAACTGCTGGTTGACTTTGGACAAGTCACATCTTCTTTGTGTGTTTCAGGGGTTGGACTAGATATTCCTCTAAGGCCCCTTCTGGCTCTGAGCAAGAATGTCTCTATGTTGGAAGGCCACATTTCAGGAATAAATAA